AATATATTTTAAAGTTATCGCTCGTGACTTATGAGTAAACCGGTCGGCGACGGTATCGCGGATGTTACTTGACTCGGTTCTCGCGACGCGCGTAACGTATCGTTACGTTTAGATTTCAAGACAAGACTCTGCGCTCGGCATTTAGGCGGTCGCTTATATTGAGTTTGATGATGTCGCTTTTGGTCTTCGATCGGACCATATATGGTAATATTCGTCGCGCTAGAGGCGCGATCGCGTGATTAAAGAATGTGCAATCTTGCACTTCCGCTGTTGGTTGCCATGCCGAGTGCATTTAGGTATTTCGCGCGCTACGATCTTAGATCGACGCTTTGTCGCGCGCGGTTTAAAGAATGTGCAGACTTGCATTTCCGGTGCCGGTTACTATGCCGGTTGAATGAAATAATTGATAAAATAAGTGATAGCCATTCGGGCTATAACATCTTATTCTTTGACTAATTTTGACTATCATCCATTAAATTTAAATATGACGATACCATTCTTGGTAACACTCTGACTGTTCTCAATTTTGTTTATTAAAAATTTTTATAACATTACATTGTGCGAAACAATTTGGAGTTGCTCGGTGAGTTATTTAGTGAAGTGTCGGATTTGCTTATCACTATTATATTATAACATAATATATTTTACTTCATTTTATTTGTTATTGTGTTAGATTATCAATCTTCTGTGAGCGAATTCGATTACTCGGTGAATCACTCATAGGGCATCGTATTATGTAATCGTATTAAGTATATATTTAATTGTTGTTACTACGATATAAGGAATTTTTTACTTGTGCATCTGATGAAGGCTCAAACCAGGAGTCGAAACATGTTATATATATATATTTATGATATAAATAATACTTTATATAAATAATATGAAGTAATACACACACACACACACACACACACACACACACACACACACACACACACACACAATGTATAAAAATAATTGTTTTTTTAACTTAATATTAAATTAGAAAATTAAATAAATAGGTAAGAAAAGATATTGTTTGGAATAGATGTATGTTATAACGTGCAAAATTGCGAATATAAGTAGCTTGGGATCAGTCTTTTGTTTTATGCTTTTCAGTATCTCTTAACAATAATATTGTTGCTGTTTGGTGAATGTATCGTGTGCATTATCGCCGTTTTTTGGCCTCATATACTAGGGATCGACGTAAGATCGGCACGTTTGATACGCGCTTTGCAGCGCAGTTATGCCGTACCAGGACGCGAGCAATTTACTGCTGCACTCGATCTTGCACAAACAATAGTAAGTTTGTCATCTATTGAAGTTAAGAATAAAGATAGGTCCGTATTCAGAACGCATTTTTATTGATAAAAGCGCGCTTTAGGAATTCTATAGTATGCGCAACGTAAACTATAGTATATTAGTGCACGTTATACGCGTTTTGAATACGGATCATAATGCTGTAATTTTCTATTATATTATTTTTCTGTTAAATATTTAGAAGCGTTATAATTAAATCGTTTACGGCATTATTTAAAAGTTTCCAAACAAATTTTTATAAAATGAATTCTCTGATAAGTAAGAGATACAAATTTTATATTTTATTACTAAGTTTTATATGTGCAAAAAGAGTCCCTTGTTTGGTTTTTATAAACATTTTAAAAATATATAAAAGTAAAGAAAAAGAATGAGAAAAGATCTTCAACTTTTGACTAATATATGTATTTACTTTATGGTAATAAAATAAAAAGAGAAAATATTCGTCATTGTCATTTTGATCATTTACAGTTCGCTTGTTGTGGCATAAACGGAAGCAGCAATTATGGAACGTCGTGGTGGCGACTGCGGGAAGTCGGCCGCCGAGAATTAGTGGTACCTCTCAGTTGCTGCATCCTGAATAACACCAATGAGATGGGCTCCTTCCTCAACCCCCAACCTGCCAATCTCACTCTCTGCCAGGTTCTGAACCCAGCCGAGCATCAATACGCCCGACACACTATGGTATGCGAGATAATAAGGAAGTTATTACCCCCTTCCCCCTTCTTTGCCATGTCATGACATAACACGAGCGAGATAAACTTTTTGAATCTGGCTCACAAATGACAAATACGGAGGTCTACATAAAGCTGCTTCGGAAACTTCACTTAAGCGTGTCTCATTCTATCTCCATCTTGTTAGACGTTAAATAAGGATAAAATGACAAACTCGCCCTCACAGAAAAGATTTCTAATACTGAGGAGAAAAAAGTCCTTGACGTACTTCATCTTAGTTCAACCCTATACATTATAAAATTAAGATTATTTTAAAATAAAATTAATAATTTGATTTTACACTTTTGAATAAAATAAGATCGACATCTTATCTTGAAACAAGTATAACACGTATAAATTTAAAAATTGATATATTCTTACATTTAGAATAAGTCTATCTAATTATATACGCGATATAAAAGTGACAGTTGTTCATATCAATGAAAGGACTAATAAGAGTCAAATAAATAGAAATAGTTTGTCAAAATTTCAAATAAAGTGATGAGCTACAATGATCTAATTATTAATTTTACTTTAATAATTCGACAAATTGACATTACATTACATAATGCGCGCATTACATGTTTCAGCTGTATGATTCAGCCCTCTTCCGATGCACAAATAAACTTATATAATAAAATTTTCATAATAAACAAATTACTAATGATAACATAAAAACAGTGATATATCTTAACGTTTTTGATAATCCTGACTTTTTGTCTTTGTTTTATTCTATTAGACAGAAATGGTTCGTGAATCTTCGGTTTCTATCCCGGACAATATTCAATGTTTTTTGCAATTAGGTGATAATTTCGCCTTGCCTAATACCAATAAGAAAAACATCATTTTTGATTGTATAATATAAAAAGAGCATCGAATATAATATTAACAAATTACCGGTTAATAAAAAGATAGACATTACGAATCATTGTTTGCTTATTAAGTATAAACTTAATAACATAGTTTCCTTTCCAATAAAGACTTCTTCTATCGATGATAAATTATTGAAATTAGAATCTGATACAAAAAAGTTTATGATTTCATAGTCTAATGTCATTTTTACACATGCGAACAAAGGGGACATAACAGTAGCTTTCAATAAAGATTTTTATATAGGAAAAGGTAAATAAGATATGTTGAGTGACGCAGATACTTACGAAGTGATAAAAAAGGATCCCATAAAAAAACTCATAACGTCATTTAGATCCTTGCTTACAAGATGGAAGACGAATGATTTTATAAATAACTCACAGTACCGACTATTGCATAACAGCAAGGGGACACATCCAAGGGCGTATACACTTCCTAAGATTGTAAAAATATATTAAAGTACACAAAGATCCATTGACTCCAAGTTGTAAATCTAACATGGTTTACAAAATAAATTGTAACGATTGTGACGCAACGTATATAGGTCAGACAGGAAGACAATTAAAAACACGGATTGTAGAACACTGTAATCATATACATTGGAACACATCTTCTAAATTGGTAATAACTAATCATAGAATACACAGAGACATGATTTTAATTGGTGTAACATTCGTCACATTTTGGACGAAGAATCTTATTACAGAAAATGTGTCTGAAATGCTTCATATCAAAAAGCAGAAAAACGGTTTTAACCTCCAGGTAGATACAGAAGGACTAAATAAAGCATATAGTCCAATCATAAACAAGATTTGAATTGGCATCTCCAAATTCTCATTTCAATATTGTATCGACAACCGTAAGAGTTAGACGTGTCTAGTGTCGCAATGAATTTCTTAATTTTTTAATTTTTGACATTGTGCAATTATGTGACTGCCTTTCTTGACTTCGACTGCATTTGCGAGATGATGACTTTTGACGATCTATTTGCTATTAATATGTTATAGATAATTCGGTGAATTTTTAACAGCTAGACGTGTTTTATGGAATGCATCATAGCCTTATTCTTTACTTAAAATATATACAAAATTTATTTTACTATCAGAATATGGTGAAACACTGTTTCAATCGGTCATTCAATCGTTTGGTGAACAAAGACGATCTTATCTTGTCCAGAATGTCCAGAATATATTTATAGATTACTAGAACATAACAAGCGCGCGCCATTAAAATTTTCATTTAATAAAAAATGACATACCTAGTAAAGCGTAAATTTTTATTTACGATTAATTTTCTTTTTTTTTTACATCTTAAGATCGTTTTGAATATATGAATCGATTATAAATATTGATCTATGACTATTGGCTTTTTATTGATTTTTTTTTGTTAATCATACACATTCATTGATATTCTTAGCTGCTCTGATAGAGGCCTTATAGTTATGCTTACCAGATACAAATACTTTTTTTGGAGACATAAAATGTATTAATAAACATAAAATATTAATAGCCTTTGCATTTTCAAAGTCTAAAGTTATCAACTCATAGATTGTAGATATTTATAAAGTTTCACTTTCCACTATTTTTGATAAATTTTTGTCTTCACATTATTTCAGATTTTTAAAGCGAACTGAGTAACACTTTTTAATGTTTTATTGTACTATATGTATTATATATGTATATTAGGGTGTCCGTTATTTCTCAAATTTCAAAAATCAGTTTGTTCGCCCCCTAGATCTCTTCTTTGGCACCAAAAATTAATGTAGAAACTCAATATAGTCCGATAAATTAAAATTAAGCCGTGCCACCGAGCACTTATTTTTTTCCATACAAATAACATGGGGATTTTGCATTTTATCGGCATTTAATTCTCTACGATGACTCTGTCCGTATAAAAAGTCATACCCAACGGAAAATTACTTCAATACGGTGTACTTACAATGAAAAAATTTGGCAGAGCTCTAAAAAATTTTTTTGCACTGCGGGTAAGCCTCCAATTAATACGTTTATTTGACATATTTTCATTGAAATTGATTATTTTTTAACAGTTTTTTTTATACAACCACTGGATTTATGTACCAAATATCAAAACAGTATGTAGTTAATTCATATTTATAGTGTAGTTGCACTAAAAAATTTTTCAGTGCTATAAAAAACTTTTCATAAAAATTGTTTTATGTGTAATGAATGAAAGTATTTCAATAAATAAGTTTAAAAAAATTGAAAAATAACAACTAACTATTATTTACTTACTATTTTATTGTTGTAAAGAAATATTCAGCCTGTTGATTCCTCTTACTAATAAATAAATAACAAATAAATCATTATAAATTATATTTATTACTTTTTATTCTTTACACTTACAAAAATATATCGCTCACATCTTCAAGTGAAAAACTTTTCATTTTTGTCGTGTCCTTTTATGTGAAAATTGATTGTTTTTGTTCGTAGTTGTTGTTTGTACTGTTTTGTGTTCTTGATGTGGCAATGTAGGCATACCTCGTGAAGTGGTCAACTAGTAGGTGCAAATATTTTTTCGTCGATCTGGTACTGCCGAATCCTCCAATTGTATCGATCGACATTATTTCAAACGGTTGAGTCGCCGGTCCCAATTGTGACATCCTACCGAATTTGTTTTGGCCTCTTGTTTTATTTTTTATACATACCTCGCACTCTTTACATATTTTTCTAATATTCCCTGTTAGATTTTTAGCAGTGTAGTATGGACAGATTTTGCTCATCATTTGTCTTATACCTATGTATATGGCACCAATCCGAGTGAACTTCTCTTATTAATTTCACGCTAGCCTTTTCTGACAAAATAATCTTTTTTTTTGTTTTTTATTATTTTGTATAATATTCCGTCTTTTTTCATTATTTTATCTTTCAACTTTTCTATTCTTTCATTTTCCCTCTGATCTAACTCTATCTCTTCTATTTTTATCAAATTTACTATCCTTAGTGTTTCTTCGTTGTTTGTTTCTGGCTCCAGCACAGGATTTCTGTTCAGGCAGTCTGCTTCTATGTTACTTTTTCCGGGAACATACTTAATCGTGAAGTCATATTGGGATAGGTAATATGTTAAGTCGCCCAATTCCTCATCTGTTCTCGCTTTTATGTTCATTCTTTCTAGTGGTTTGTGGTCAGAATATACCTCGAAGTGTCTCCCTATTAGCGAGTGTTGCCAGTACTTCACCGCTTCCTTAATAGCCAGACACTCTAAATAGATTGCCTTTTTCCTTCTCTGCGCCTCATTTAATTTTTTCGAAAAATAAGCGACAGGTTTTTCGTTGCCATTATCTTGTGTTTGTTTCAACACTGCGCCTATACCTTCCAGCGACGCATCTGTGTATATTTTTATAGGCAGGTCTCTATCGAAAATTTCCAGCACTGGTTGAGAACATAATAGTTGTTTGATCTTCGTAAATGCTTTTTCACATTCATCTGTCCATATAAATTTTTCGTTTTTCCGCAATAGTTTATGTAGAGGATCTAGTAATATCGAACTTCTTGGTATGTATTCGTTATAGAAATTTATTTTCCTAAGAAATTGTCTTACATTTTTTTGCGTTGTTGGGGTTGGAAATTTTTGGATTGATATGACGTTATCCTTCAGTGGTTGAACCATATTATTACCTATTATATGTCCAAGATATCTAACTGAGCCAGCTGCGAATGTACATTTTTAAAATTTCAATCTTAAGCCTTCTTTCTTTATAGCTTCTAAAACTCGTACTATATGTTTTAGATGTTCTTCAAATGATCGCGAGTGTATCAATATGTCATCTATGTAGTTCACTGCATTCTCCGTTAGTCCATGTTTTCTTAATATATTACTTAAAATTCGTTGGAATATCGCCGGAGATGTCTTCAGGCCAAATGGTAGACAAGTCCACTGGAAGTGTCCTTCTTGGGTTATAAATCCTGTTTTGCTTTTGTCTTCTATTCTCAATGGTATCGACCAGAACGCTGAATTTATATCTAATGTTGTGTAGTATTCGCAATTTCTAGCTCTTAATTTGTTTAAGTCTCGAAAGTCAATGCAAAGGCGTGATTTTTTTCCTTCATCTCTTTTATATGCCAGCGTAACAGGAGCGGCGAAGGGGCTGTAAGACTCTTCAATTAGCCTTTTTTCTAGTAGCTTTGCTATTTGTTTTTCAATTTCCTTTTTATCATCTATATTACATTTGTATGGTCTCCTGCTACAGTATCTGTCCACTAGCAAGTCAATTCGAGCTTCATAGTCCTTAACGGTTCTTACGTCATACTTGTCCTTGGTAAATACTGATTTATGTTCCTTTATTAGTTTTTCTATTTCCTTCTTTTTTATTTTATCTAAATGTTCCAACTTTATTTGAAATTCATCTTCTTCAACATTGAAGTTCACTGAACGTTGTTCAATATTTCTCTTTTTCTCTTCCGCGGTATCTGTTTCAATCTTATTGCTTTCATTTGTCTTATTTACCTTTTCCTGAAATATTTTTAATTCTTCATCTTGGGTTAGCTTAAATTTTTTTATCATATCTAACCCAATTAAAAAATCTTCGAAATCTTCTCTATTTACTATGAATACATCTACCTCATCTTCGATGTCAAAAATTTTTATTTTTATTGTTACTAGGCCATCTGTTTTTTTTCACACCATTAACTGTTTTTATGAGTATTTTGTTTTTATCTTCGTTTTGATTTATTATTCTGACTAATTTTGCATTTATCAGGGATATCTGGGATCCTGAATCGTAGGTCCCATACAGTTCTAATTTTCCATCTAGTAACATTTTTATTTTTATTAATGATGTGATTATAAGTTTTTTTCTTGGTTGTTTAATTCCACCTGTAGTACTGACGTATTTCCTATAATTCCGGATTTGTTTTTGCTCTTTTCATGTTCTTTGAACCAGCATTTTTCTTCGGGATGGTATCTTGCTCCTTTCCCCAAAGTCTCGCATGTACTACATGGTTTCTTTTCAAAAATCCTCTTTTTATTGTCCAGCTT